GATTATCGTTATTATTTTGAGGTTTGGCGTCGAGTCATGCACTCCTCGGATTATGGATGAAATTAATTTTGTTTGAAGAAGCGCCCCAGTGCAGAGCTAGCGATTAATTTTACTCAATGCAAGTCCGGCGCTTTTGGCACCCTCGGTGGTGAGCGACAGCTGCCGCAAAGCACAAATATATACGCTGATGTGACTCTCGAAATTAAGAGTTTAGAGAGAAAATTCCGCGCCTAGCCAAATCCCGATAGCCGTAAGTGCCAAAGCGTGTGATTAATTTAACACGCAAGTGCTCTTCTAACCGCCAGTAAACGCCTAATCGACGTTTATGTGAGGCACTTTTTTGTCAAATTACTCAGGCCGTTTTTAACGCTCGGCAAAAGCGATTTGCCGCACACATGTGCGCGCATACTGCGGTAGAGCGGCACCATTCTGCTGGCACATTGGCTAATTATCGGCGCAAGAGGTGTGCGATTTTATTTGGCCTCGGCGTTTCTCTCTCGCAGGCAAACACAAACAGCCACAAGCCAGCACTTATACTCTGCCTCGATCACACCCAAACAATAAATAAATCTGCCCACACGAGGCGGCGAACAAGGAGGCGCACTCTGAAATATTAAAAAGTCTCTTTACTCGCGACGGGGTTTGTTTTTTATTGGCATCGGTGCTTAAAAAGAAATCCGAGATAACTGCTCTCTCTGTGCTGCATCCCACCTTTATGATATAAAAATAAGCCATATCAACTTGTCCTGTCATTCGTGGACGAGCCGTAAAATCGAAATGGCATGTGGGTGCTGCACACACCACACGTAGAGTCACCCGCCCTGGCGATAGATGGATGGCCGGTCGGTGTGACCGACGGAAAACAGCGAGTGAAAGAAAACAAAACACGAGCCGGCAACGCTAGGCGCACGATTTATTGGCAGATTGAATGCGAATTTAAATGTGTCCGTTTATATTACATGGGCGAGAGGAGCGTTTTGGGAGGGAGCCCCTGAATGCATTAAAACGCAACCTGCAACGCACACATTTACTGCAGGTTGCCTGAGGTGCCTTTTAGTGCACTAATTTTTTTTTTATCAATAATTTGTTTTAAAAAACATTTTCCTGCATCAAAGAGTTCTTATTATTTTAAAATATCTAAGCATAATTCTGCTGTTTGCATAATTTTGCTATTTGCCTAATTATGCTATTTGAATTACAAAAAAAGTAGAGCATTTCAATGAATTTGAGTGTAATTTCTCAAATAATTCGTAACCATGGTTCTTAATGGTGCTAGTACAACAACTAATAATTGTATTTTTACAGATTATCAATGAGAATATTATATTGCCATCAGAATTAAAATGCAATATATTGCATTTTAATTAATTTTTAAATTTACAGTAAATAAGGTAAAAAAAATTTATGATGAATTAATTATCTGTTATTTTTTTTAAACTGGTGCATTATTTAATATAAATATAAATTAATACACATTATGCAACAAGTTTGATTAAAACTTGATATTTCCATAAAAAAATCCTATGCCAACTTTTTATGTCTCATTTTCTGTTGAACATATGTACGTGTCAATTAATTTTAGCTGTCCAGAAATGAAATAATTTTTAATTAAACAAAAATCGTTTTCAGAATTCAATATTTAGTACAGAATTATGAAATCTGGCACCAATTTGCTTTCAAAATGTTTTGTAGAACTAGAAAAACAGCATTCTACAAATTTCAAAATTGTGTGGGAAAATTTATTTTAAACAAATTTATTTGCAAAAACTTCTCTGAACTCACTTCCTTCTTGGAAAAACTCTAAAAATACGATTTCAAAACATCAGGCAGTATATAAAGTGAATACAAACGTGCCAATTTGAGGTGATAATTTTATCCAATTTAGCCAAAATAAATTATTCTTAATGGACAGACATGTCGGCTTGAAAAAGGCGTTGGGCCTCGTCAAAAAGAACCAGCGAATTGAATAATTCAGCATCATCTTTAATTCATAAAATCATCTGAAAGTCTAATTTTGGTGATTTCCCGTGAGCATCTCGGCCGATTTCGCAGGCGCATTGCGGAGCTTGTTTGCAGTCGGGCAGCAGCGCAAGTTGTGCGCCTCCATTAAACGGCGTGCACGGCACGCGGTGTGTGTTGCCGAGACTTAATTTGCATAGCCGGAGATAATTGAGCAAAAAGGCAAGAGCCGCCACGCTGCTGGAGAGATGCGAAAGTTGACCGGCCAGCAGCGTGAGCCACTCAGGAAACGCCTTTTGTTCAAACAGCCACACTCGCCGAGATAGAGAGGGAGAGCTCCTGTGGGCTATGGAAAATCGATAGTACACACCAAGGAAGGAAAGTTCCTTCCTCTTCACCCGCCTCCAAAATCAAGAGTGAAATTTTAAAATCTGACGAATCATTTTGCAAAATTTAAATAAATTAGCGTTTTTAATTAGTATATAAATATTCGCAATCATTGAGAAGGAACAGTTGCGTACGAAAAGGTTTCAAGAAAAGGTTTCAAGAAAAGGTTTTAATTGATTGTTAATTAGAAAAATAAATCCGAATTTAATTGGCACACTAACAGTTACAATTTTTTATAATATGCTGATGGCTTCTAGAAACACTACTATGAGATTATTGACAGTAATTTAAATCTACAGCCCACGGCTATTTATGCAAAATTCCGCCATTAAAAGTCCAAAACTCGTTTTAAACGCGACTTGCGAGTAAATTTAATGCTTATCAGGTGGAATTTCAAATTACATGGAACCGCCCTTGAAGGTAAAATTTTCACGAAGGAATTAAGAAGATTTATTGAGAAACAGGCCAAGCACTTTTGTACCTCGGCGAAATGCAGCAGTAAAAGAGAAAAAATGTCGCCGACTGGTCGGTTCGAAGGGAACAGGTTTTGTGATAACGAAGGAGTCTCTCGTAGTCTTCGTTAGCAACACACACAACCTCAAATTGAGTCCATCTGTCTCAATTGGTTATTGTTTTTTTCCTTTCAGGCCGACAGTCGTGGAATGCACCGATAAAGGTCAAGGGCGACACAGCTCTAGCTTCTCCCTTCATCGAGCGCCTTTGCTTTACTGCCATCTACAGTCAGATTTATAGCCCCTGTAAAGTATGCGCTCGTCACTCCGCCGCTGACGGACGGGTTGCATACCCTCCTCGTCACCAGGGTGCAAATGTGCTCGTTCACTCTTGACGAATTTTTCATGTCTCGCCTCTGAATGAACGTATAGCTTTTCCTGCCGCTTCCTATCATATTTTTGAAAATTGTTATCGCCGTCACCCCGTCGCGCAAAATTTTTATTCTTTTTTTAGTGCCCCAACGAGGTCGTAAAACATGCAATTAGTCGATTTTTATCAATGTGCCACATGCAAAATTGAAGATAATTTACAACCGGCGGTCGCACATGTGAGCTTTTTTCGCGATTTTAAGTGCTTGGCAGGCCTAATCTTTAATTAATTCCAACATTGCCATTTAGCCAGAGGTTATATGTTTCTTTTTATAGTAGAAATATTCGCCCATATTTGCCTGCAAGTTTATAAGCAGGTGATTTAATAATTAATAAACAAGAGGAATAATAAATTGTAGAAAAATCTTGAAGTTAAGATATTTTTAACCGATTGAATCTCGTTCCATATTTATTAGAGTTTGGTTGACAATAAGGGCTCCTGTTGAAGCAGGCAAAATTCAATGGTTTCATAAATATTTCCATGACTTTCTACTTTTTATTTCTAAAACTTAAATTGTTAATTATATGATGGTAAACAAATACAGCAATGAAGAAAAAAATCCTTTCAACTAATTTTTATAGATAAAAAAATCCTTTGAGTAATTATTAAAAAAAAATTTTAATGAAGTAAGAACTTAGGAATCTGGCATTCTAAATAAAGTGTTGCACTCTGAAAATATTTAAAAAAAATATATATTCTGTTTTCAATGTAAAATGCTGCCATAAACGATATTTAAAATATTATGATAAATTTATAAACAATGATTTATTGTAACTTAGTAATCAAGATTTGAAATTTAATTCAATAAAATTCAATCTTGGCATTTCTCTCCCCATTTCAATTTGTCAACGCTCACGTCAGCTCTCAATTGAAAATTAATTTTGCCATTTGAACTATAAATAATCCACAGCACTCCCTATGTTTTAATTTCACTTTGCAAGTCGCTCTCGCAACTCTCACTGAGCGTATAGGGTCAAATTTTCCGAGCAATCCTGTGGGAAATCAAAGGCTGTAAATTGCGATTCAGCACAATGTATGTGTGCGTTCTTTGCTCTCTCTCTTGCTCTGCTGGCGTTTGCCAGCGCCACTGGATAATCCCAACACAAACCCTGCACAAAAGTGTCTGCCAGGCAAACCGAATTTAAGCAGCCGTCGAATATATAAAAGCTGCACCACGCATGCAGAGCCGGAGGGGCATCAAAAATTAAAATTTATCACCTGCCAATGCGCAATATTTTGCCATTTTTAAACCTCTCTCTCTTGTATACGCTCGGCAGCCCGCTAGGGAGTTTTAAAATTGAAACCGCCTGGAAAAGCAATAATTTCCAATTGAATTCGCCGTAAAATCAAATGAAGCCTCGCCTAACGCCGAGCTAGCGGGAGAGCAAAAAGACAGGCAGACTTCCATTTTTGCCGCGCCGTCTCCCAGCGGAATTATATGGAAATCCTAGGGAGTATAATTTTGTTACAGCTTAAATTTATGGCTGCGAATATGAACACACAAAACTCTCGCGTACAGGCTGCTGCTTTTTATTTGCTTATTCCACGTGAAACCCGAGAAGTACAGTCTCGACTGCGAGTGTAAGAGAGAGAAAATTGTAAATATAAATTATGCAAGGGATAAACCGCGTGCCGGCAACGCCGGGATTATATCCTCTTTTTTTCTCAATGCAAAAAGGTCATTCGGTTTGTTGCACGAGTTTTACGACGCGAAAAAAATATGCAAATGAGTCATCTTGTGTTAATTTTCTCCTTAATCTCTTCTGTTTCAGATGGACTAAATGTTAAAGTTCTAGTGCTCGATAGTGGATAACTAACGGATCATTTGAAAAAAGGTAAGGTCGTATAATAAATCTGATCGTTTAATCGAGAGAGAATCCGGGACCGATTTATCAGAAACCAGTTTTTCGTTATTTTCTTTGCCCGACATAATAATTCAAGCCGCCGTGAATAATCTCGGGAGTGCCATTTGGCATGCAATACCTTGGAAAATTTCAAAGACCGTCAGAGGAAAGAATTTACAATCCTGTACCATTAAGGAAAATGCCGAAACAACCCTTGTGTGTGCCCACCTGCGTGTTTTCGTTGCACCCAGCTGGGCCACGAATCATGTGCGAAGACAAATTTATGTCCTTTTTATGAATTAGTTTCTTACAATGTGTCGGGCATAATTTCAAATTTATATTGTGGTTGTAAATTTTCAGTTACAGACACTTTTATACTTTTTATGATTTTATAATGCTGTCGCTGCGAGAGAGGGCAACTGAAAGAGATAGACGCACACGCACCATAAAAATGTGTGTGGATACACGTCGTGCGCGTTTAATGGAGCCTCCCAGTATGTGTGTCATTGTGCAGTGCGAGAAACTGCCTCCGAAAGAGATTCAAAAAGCATTAAATACATTCAGGGGGACGCACACAACGTTTACGAACGGATGAGTTTTTATAAAGAAATCGCATGGCAAATTCTCTTGAGAGGAGGGGAAATTATGGACATAAATTTCAAATGTATAAATATAAACTTTGCTCTCAATCCAATCCTGAAATTCCTGCTTTTTTAAGTCGGCAAACTTGTGTAACGAAATTAGAATGGTGTGTCAAAACAAACCATCAAATTCAGATACAACTACGCATTTAATAGCAAGACAGCCTGAAAGTTAAACTTGTTCTTTCGCAACATCCTTCAAATATGGTGAATGTAACTAAGAGAAGGTTAAAAAAATGTAGGAACTTTTGCTATAAAATCTGAAAAAAAAAGCATATCCATATATCTGTGATATAGTTAAAATTTAAATTTACAAATAAATTCCATAGAAAACAAATTTTAAATATCAACACAAAATGCTCTATAATCTGCATTTTTTTGTTTTATTTATTAAATAATTCAAGCCTGGGCCTGATTCCAAAACTTCTCCGAATTATAACCCCTTCTCATTACCATGTGAAAAGAGAGGGTCAGCTCAAGAAACGGACAAAGGAAATTCACCCCGAAGTTTTCGCTTTTCTTTTCACCTTATAACCGGGCACAACTCTCTGTTTGTATTTTTTTTTTCGGGGAAAAAAGGCGCTCAGCAATTTTCAGTTTTGTACGCTTCCTTTGTCGGAGCTGCCGCTTTTTCTCTCATTGTGCTGAAGGTCCCGTGTGGTCCAATAATGTCAAAGTGCCAACGGCGAATGCGAGAAAGAGAGAAGAGAAGAAAAGGACGCCATCAAGGTGTGTGCGTGCGTGCTGGCCGTCGCTGCGAGAGCTGCCGGGAAATCTGCGTTCAGGGAGTCTTTTTGTGTAAATGTGGCAGGCACCTTTACAAAAATAAACTGCGCCTCGCTTTTCTGCTCTCGTGATGGAATCAAAATGCTTCGTGTGTCTTTCTGTCGTCTACCCGTCAAGCACTGTAAATCTTTTCACGCGCTTTCAATAAAAATCTTTGCCGGGAAATGGAAAATCGATTCTGTCGCGCCAAAAGAATGGAAACAAAAATTGCAAATTTTGGAAATTGACTCTCATGCTATCAGTTTGATGAAGTTTAATGGTTTTTTATTTTACTTTTAATCAATCTATGGAACAAAAGAAAGTGATACTTACAATTAGTGATTAAAAGAATAATTTAAATTACATGATGATTTTTTATATCTGTTTTGTTATAGTTATAACCAAAATTTTACTTCATATTTAAAAAAAATTAAAAATCATAATTATAAAATAAATGGACCCAAAATATCATTTTTGAAAATTTTCTGGTTCAATTCTCAGCTTGTGCTTTTTGCCGTTTCTGCAAAAGCAAACGAGCAGAAGAAAACCCTCGTTCCGTTAGCTGAGCTCTTCTCGCTGCAGCAATAATATCTTCTGTATGCAGCAGCCGGGGCAAATTATTGGGCCCCTGTTGAATTAAATTTCCCCCGGCCGGTTTATCGCCATTCTGCACCGCATACTCTTCTCTTAAGCCCGCATTGTTTAAACTTCTTTCGCTCGAGAGCAGCGGCTTTTCTTCCTCTCTCACTGTATGTGTGTTTTTTCGCCCGTGAGATGAGTTGGAAACTCTTATCACAGAGTTTTCCACCTTAATCTTGTGTGCGCCCCATCATCTCCGCGCGCCAACTGCAAAGAATATACGGCACCGCTTGTTCTCTTTCCCATCACTTCTCTCTCGGCATCCAAAGAGCCCTTGCATTATTTCCCGGCAAACGTATTTTTCCAATTCCTCGTCCGAGAAAAAGCTGCAGACTACCGGGAAATAAAAGAATTGGAATTTGTGTTATCGCTGCACTTTTCTCTCCTGTGGCCATTCGAGCTCTCAACTCGGCAGGGGAGATCATTACACCTCCCTCTGCTGTTCCTCGGCACTTTTCGCAAGTCGTTGTTACACGGCTATGGCTTTAATTAAGAAATTCTCTCAAGTCTCAAATTCTCGTGTACGTGTTTATTTTAAATTAATAATTATACAAAATGAAATTCAACGGTACCTTTTTCGGCCGATTTAATGATTATTACAACTCAACAAAAATTTAAAATTGTCCCTACCTAAAAAGTCTTTCTGAAAATTTTAAAGCTATAATAAAATAACAATAAAATGCAGCAACTTTTTTATTAATTCAGCTTGGTAGCGCCGGCAGGGAAATTATGACGTGCAGGTCTCTTAAATTTGGAGAGTTATATAAAATAACTAATAAGTAAGGTATCTTTTTGCCACTGAGCACTTTCTTTCTTTCTTTTCCTTTTTCTTTCTACTTCGGGAGCTGCGCACACACATACATTTTGAGATTTGCCGGCTGCTTTTCGGGCGGCACACACGCCATACCACTCGTGGCGCAAATATAAAACGTCTTCTTAAGTTTTTCCGAGGGCGATTTGGGCCATGTAATATCGCCCGAGCTGCCTGACGGTGTGCAGAAGAGCAGGATTTGCCAGCAGCGGCGTTATTGCCTCGCGAGAGAGAACACCCTCCAATTACCCGCCGCTGCCGCCGCCGCCCTAGCTCGACGGCTACACATTCGGAAAAATAGCTCTCTCGTGCAGCAGCCCTTCGCTCGCTCTCTCGCATGCATGCACACCAATGGAATGAAAATGTACGTGGAGAGGAAAGAAAAACGCTCACCTCGGGTGAAAATTTCGGGATCGCCATTTGTATGAAAATGCGAATTGATGGGGAAAATTGATCAGACCGGCATTTTTCCTGGGGCGCCGCAAGAAGTGTGTTTTGCCATCTCTATGCAAATCAATATTAAATTGAATTTTAAATTGGTTCTCGTTTTATTGCTTCGTGTACTCCCCGTTCTCGCCCGCGGGAAATGAGCAGCAAAATTAACTTTGAAGCGAAAAAATACAATACGATTGCGGTTTTCTATTATCAGTCTCGAAATCGAATCGACTCAACAGAAATATTCAATTGAGTAGGTGGATTTTTTTAATATAATTTGGAATATCTTGAAATATGAAAACGCAAGTTTTTTTAGTCCAATGCTATTGTTGCAAATTAATTTATGCAATTAAAAATAAGCTTGTTTTATCTTAAAATATAATAAAACATAAAATTGAAATAAGATTTAAATCTTATTGTATGCGCAATTTAATGAACAATATCCAGTAGATGAACAACTTCAGCCAACCATAAGGATTAATTCAATAGTCTTTTTGATCTAAGCAGTTTTTTTTTTCAAAATTTTCGCTAACGGCATTAAGTGGTGGTGCTGATTTAATTGACCAACAAATTCAATTTCATATTTGAATAATTTTTCACTAAGTAAAATATTTATTTGGATCAATTTGCAATAATTGGCAACAATATTTTAAAAGAATCATGCAAAAATCCTCGTTTTAAAAAAAATATATGCGATTTTAATTATTTTAAATTAATTAAAAAATTAACTTAAATAGGGTTTAATTCCGTTTGATTCATACGACTTACATAGATCTGTAATTTTCAATCGATAATATGGATAAAACTGGGAAATTAAGAAACGAATCGAATTACATTTTAATTAATTATTATATAATTTCATATCTCTAATTTTGATAAATTTTAATTACTAATTCTTAATGAGTTTTTAACAATAATTTAATTACATCTTCAACTCCACCATAAATCTTCGCTCCTTTATGAAAGTTATAATACAACAAAAAAAATCATCAATCTTCTCTCTCAAGTGGCCTGACCCCAAAACCTACTGGTCGCCCATCTCAGCTGACAAGTGTCATGCGAGGCTCTCGGCTCTCGGTCGTGCTGCATGTGCGTGAATAAATTTATTTTCGCGTTCACCTTTTTGAGCCAACTTGATATGCGGTGGCGGCGAAGGCACCGGCGCGTCTTCGTCACCATGAATATGCTGGACCCCATATGGTTTTGAATACAAGCCATTTACTTTTGGCTAGGGGTGCTGGGGCCATTTTTGTGCATAACGCGAGCGAGGCATGTTGAATACTGATAACGCACACTCGCTCTCTCTCCTGTGCACGCCCTAATGCTTGCAAGTGACGATTTTCCACCAGAGCGGCACTGCGTCATTTCCATGCAGACCAAATTAAAATAGCGACAGCAGAGATTTGCAGCGAGTGAGAAAATAAACAAATTTATATTAAATTGCGGCGCGTGCCTCTTTTAATAAAGTGCTGTCGCTGCACACACGACCTCGCATTCATCTCTCGTCTCGTGTTCTACAAAATTATTAATTATAATTTTTACATACCCGCTTAAATATTATTATGCAGCCTCGGCGGAATTTCTTAATGTTTTATATTTATAATTTATCGATTTCGACTCGGAGCTCATTTTGTTCCTTCCCTCATTTATGCACAGAGCCTGTTGGGAAATTGATTTAAATTTATTAACGTTCGACCAAC